ATGCAAAAACATCGACTGACACGATCTGTGAGCAAGCAGATTGATTAAGAATTTTATACTTTCAAGTCAGGTAACAGTTTAGCAGCTTTAGAAACTGTTTTAGCCTATACGGTCATTAGGTATGCACTTTTGGTTGCTATGCCTCGGCTACCCATTTGGATGAATGATTGAAGGGAACCTTGAGGGCATTGCCAATTAAAAATTCGGTAGACTAGGGTTGCAACGATATTATAGGCTGAATGCACATGAACAGGTTTCTACACTCAATCATATAATGTAATGTAATGTCTATATGGTCTGTTACAGTGAACCCGAGGTTCTCATTCAGATATGCGTGGCCTCAACCGTCAAAACCTGCAAAGTTCAAGCACTTCATAAGGGGTACAAACGCGATTGATTGATTCCCAAGCTCAAACCTTGGCAATATTTGTATAATTGTCGCGCTGAACCTGAGTAACAGTTAGAGATAAAATGAAGCAAAAGAAGGAATAAAAACGAACGATGGAAAACTCACTGGTTCCAAAGGAGAACGAGAGAGTTTGCGGTTCACCTTTCTCGTTCAGCGGCAACGACGTGAATAGCGTATTACTGGCAGTCTCTCGACAACTGGTTAAATCAACTGGTTCGCATAGGATGGCATGTGGATCCAGATATCGTTCCTCATATTGCAGACTTAAATGACAACCGAGACAAGGAACTTGAGCATCTGTGAAATCGAAGTAGCCGCGCAACATGTCTTCAATACGAAACAATGTGCGTAACAGACACAGACGACCGACGACACCTTGCGAGCAAGAGATAACAAATGTGGCTGCAATAGATCGAGGGGACAGGAGGAAACACTCGCCGGTTGTGGTAGGAACAGGGGTAGAATATTACAGAAGATTGTTAACTTTACAACACAGAGTGAAACATTCAACACAAAGAGGTTTATATGTCCCTCAGTTAAATTTTTTATTTGAACTAATTTATAAAATATGAGCAGCTGACCATTTAGATAAGTTCATTAAACTACCCAGTGCCAATGGTGGTGGGTGGTTTCTCGATTTTATTTCACGGTTTCGGGCTACTCAAAGAATGCTCCGGATGACCTGCTAATTCAGTTCGGCTCACTGCTTTGTTGTGATGTAGCTCCATCACGACGAGACTGCTCCTTGACGTGGTGTGATTACTTGCGCGCCTCAATGACCCTGCGAGCCATACAGCATGGCTTCTCACAGTTGCAGATCCAATCATGCCTGAAAAGCCAACGGGTAGAGGCCACACGAAGTTCAGTCTCACAAGGCCAGCTGCTTGGGCACCTCCTTGTCTCCTTCTTCTATCCACACCCGCCCCTGGAGAGGTCACTCCAGTAAATAAACACGGTGAGGGGCAGTTTACCGGTAAAAAACACCCGCTAGATGGACGTAGGAGCGGGGTACCTGGGGCTTCCTCTCGACGGTGGGAGAAGTCTTCACACTTCATTGAACAGCTACCGCCCGCCCAAGCTGGGCAGCCCCCAGCCAATAAGGTGCTGTCCCGTCCACGTTCCGCTTGTCTCATTCGGTGTATGAGGCTAAGGGCCGATCCCCAAAAGCGGACCGATAATCAACGCACCAGCGGACAAAACAACTAATCGGAATTCAAAGGCCTTGCGTGACAGGTCTCCAGAAGCTCCCACCCGGGGTGCTTCGTTCACGCTCCCGCGTTGGATTTGCGTCCCACTGCCTTGTGGGTCAGACTTTTGAGTCGAAGGCTCCAGTTAGAAGTCCCAAAGAAAAACCCCTTCGTCGGTATGGGCAACCGCGAAGTATGCCGTGCCCAAAAGTCTTATGTACCCATTTAGAGAACCGTCTTTCTCAACTGTCTACTTCCTCTTCTCACTCCCATATCTTCAGAGATGCATCCTGTTTGCGCCATCCATCGGATACCACTCAGTGTTCAACTAATGAGGTCAACCACTCAGAGGCTATCAGACTTTTGAAAACAAAATCTCCTTTCCACTTAGCTGCATTTAATGTCCGCACACTATCAGATCGGGCAACAAGCTGCTTCGGCTAGAACCCTTTAAACCTTCCATTTAGATGTATGTTGTGTCTCCGAAACACGCATACAAGACCCTACTTCCATTAACTTTCCGCGTTCTCCTGATCCAACCTCAACCTCACGCTTCACTCTCCGTGTGTCAGGTGATTCGGCGTCCGAAGCTCGCAGTGTTGCTGGTGTTGGGATTGCGCTGAGTGTCAAGGCCGAGAGTTCACTTCTCGATCGGATCCCGGTTAACAGCCAACTTTGCGCCGTACGTCTGGATGGTTCAGTACGAGTCCAAAGCTACAGAAAGAAACCTCAATGCTTATATTCGCCGTATGCACCGACAGATTGCAGTTCGCCAGAAGTGAAGGATGAATTCCACAAGGACCTCTCTCTCGACTGCTCCGAAGTGCTCGGTCAACAGAGATCGTGGTGGTCGCTGGAGACCTCAATGCTCAAGTGGGATCCCTGGACTAATCAGAGAGGCTACTTGGAGGTTCACATGCAATCCCAACCAAAAGGACTGACAACGGAGAACGCCTACTCCAACGTTGTGCTGACCACGGACTTTTTCTGTCAAGCACGAACTTCTCGCACAAACAACGCCACCGTCTTACATGCAGACCGCCAAACACTTCACAGCGCTGGACTCAAATCGACCACATTGCCATCAGCCACCGCTGTCGAGGATCCATTGAAGACTGCCGCTCCTACTGGTCAACAACCGCGGACACGGACCATGCTCTGTTACGAGCGAGATTCTCTCTACGCCCAGTAAACAAACGCAGGAAAGCCACCAAAAACGGATGCCCAAGGTACAATGTCAGCAATGGTTGCAAATCGGCCTTCGAAGCGGATCTATCA